TATAATAATTAATTAATACCAATCCAAAAAAAAAAAAGATTGAATTTTTAATTTCTGAATATACACTCTTTCAGTATCAACCTCATGTATTAACAAGTAACACTCCATATCCTTAAAAGCAAGAATCTTGAAAAGTGAAAAATCTAACAAAACCATACCACATCTGTTACACATCACCCTTTAACCGAATGATTACCGGCGTTGAATTTGTAACATAACCGGACAAAATCAATAGAAATTTACAATTTTTGTATAGCAATTCTTCAACTAATCAACCCATATTTGCTAAACTAAAACCCCCCAAGAAAACCCAACAAGAAAAACCTGATCTTTGAACTAATCAAACCAAATTTGCTAATCCGAGAAACCCAATCTTGATTCAACCATGGTTAGGCAAAGCAACGAGCTCAAAATCTTGAAGAAGAAGCTGATCTTTAAACCCAACAAGAAACTGACACAAACCTTCAAGAAACAGAGCAGCTTGATGCTCATTCGTAGCTCCAACAATCTCAGTAATCACACTCTTCCTCAATCGATTCGCATCAACAAAAACACTCACAAGCTCCTCCATCTCTTCCTTCGCCGCCAAATCCACCGGAGAAATCGCCGTCACCGGGTTGGTCGTCGTCGTCTTCTTCCTCTTCGCACCTTGATAACCCAAAAACCAATTCTCAGAGACACGAGAAACGAAACCTCTCTGCGTTTTCCTCACTCGATCCATCAAAACAGGAACCATAAGCCTCATCGTACACTCGATCTGATCGATTCTCGTAACCAATTCATCAGACGGATCTTTCCAAGCAGTCGCGATCTTCAACGGTTGTTGTTGTTGATTCACCAGATCTAGCTTCAGATCTTCGTAATCGGAGTCTTGATTCTCTCGATCGATGAAGGATCGAAGGAGATTAGTGAGGAGATAAGGATGGATATCGCCGAGGAAGAGGAAAGGAGACTCGAGAGAGTTGCGCCATGTAGGGAAGAGAAGGTAAGGGATTGTGTTTGAATCGGCGGCGAGATCTAGGGCTTCGTAGTAAGAGACTAAGTGACGGAGGACGAGATCGACGTTGGTTGAGATTACGGCGGCGGAAGCGGCGGAGGAAAGGGATTGACGGAGGAGAGGGAGGTGACTTTCGGTTAGGGTTTTTGACCAATCGGAGTAGAAACTGGTGAATTTACGAGATGGTTTCTTGCGTGAGAAGATAGAGAAAGGCATTTTTCTCTGAGTCTGAGAATGAAGAAGCCGACCATGGAAGGAAGATTTGAGAGGGGTTTATTAGTTTTATAAAGGGTCGTTGAATTTTTGGAGAGAAAGCGAAGAAGCTGATCGGTTTTTATTGGTTTAGTTGTAACTACTTAACCGAATCTTTGCATCGGTTTATGAAAATTCACAGAACATAACACAAGCAACCAAATGGGAACAGGGGTTTAATAAAAAGTTATATAATAATCCAAATCGACGACAACGGAAATTAGGCTCTAACTTTTTTTTTTGGCATCTGAATGAAAATATATTAAGCCGAAGCTACTTGTTTCTAATACAAGACATGTACCGAATCAAAAGCATAAGGTTATACGATTACCCTATTACAAAAACCTTTAAATCCAAAAAACAATTCGAAACAATCAAAAGGATGATGATTTCTCACATTCAAAGATGTGATTGAGCCACAGAGGGGAACCTACCGAAACGTAAGAATGAACCCTCAGTTCTCGAGTCACACTCTGAGCTAGAAGAAAAGCTCCTCTATTGGTAGCCCGCACTTCGTTTACCAACTTCCAATGCGAGAACGTTTTAAGCTTGAGCGGAGCTTCACCAACTTGATAGTGGAAGGAAGGCCAAGCTTTGGGCCTGTTGATAGGCCCTACAAGATCAGAAGCTTCCACACCAAAAACAATTTTATCAACCTTGTGAAATTTCATGCAATCCAAGGTCCAAAGGATGCTGAAAAGTTTTGCGTCCTCCAAAGAACAAGTCTGAG